CATCGTGGAGGGGCGCGCACCGGGTCTGGTTCCGGGAGTGGCTGCGGGCCCGGACCCCTGCCCCTCCCTTGCCCTGACGCTCTCTGCCAAGCGGCCCCCCTCTCCCGATCCCGTCCGACGCCTGCCCTTCCCGCTTCTGCCCCTGTGCCCTCGGCCAAGGTGCCCACGGGTCCGCTTACCACCGACCCCCACCCCGCTGGCCCGCGCCGACCCCGGCTTCTTCCTTGCGCTCCGGCGTGCGCCCTGCCCACTTCCCCGGACTCCGCAAAGCCCGGGGCAGCCCTCCCGCCCGCTCCGCGACCCACGCCGACCGCTCCCCGCCCCTGACGCCTGGGACCCGGGCCAGCCCTCCCGCGACATCCGCGAGCCCTCCCGTCCGCTGCCGCGCCCGCCCCCGGCTGCGCGGAAGCTTCTTGGCGACAGGTGCCTCCTACCGGCTCCCGGGGTGGCGGTGAGGGGCGAGGGGTCACCCTGAGCCCGCCGGCGGGAGTCGGTGCGGGGGGCGTGGCTGCGGCCCAGCGGGGCGCCGGGCGGTCAGCAGGTGCCGGCTCTGCTCATGCTGTCCCAGAGCCGCTGAGTCGCGGACCGCAGAGGTCTAGGTGAGCCTGAAAGTGTCCCTGTGCCTGAGTCCTGTCTGTCTGTCTGTCTGGCCTCCACCCTGCCTATTTCTGCGGTATGTTTTCTCTGTGCGGGTCTCTCTGGGTCTGGCCGTCTGTCTTTGGGGTGTGTCTGCTTGGGGCGGGGAGGGAAAGGTGTCACAGCGCTCATCCCTAGATCTATGAATAGGGGGACGGGGTGTCTTTTTGTTTGTGTCTGTGTTTGTCCGTCTGGTGTACCTGTGTGTCTGCCAGGAAATGCCCAGACGGGGACAAGACAGGGGCTCCTTCCCAAGAAAAGAGATCGTCTCTGTCCCTCTTCAGAGAGAACCGGAAGCTTCTTCTGCCGAGCACCCCTGGGAGTGGGGGCTGGCAGGCCCCGCCCTGGAACTGTGGGCGCCAGAACGTCTCCCTCAGCAGCACCGCTCCCCCAGCCGGTCTGAAGTCCAAGCTGAAGCTGAACGTGTCTGCCACGGTGTCCAGCTCAGATGCTGCTGAAGAGGAGATTCCAGCTGGCCCCCCAGGTTTCTGCAAAAGAGCCTCCTAAGGGCAGAGAGGAAGGAGGGAGCAGGGAGTCGGGAGGCAGCTGCTTGTGTGACTGCAGTCTGAAGGCCAGCAGGCCTCCTGGGTGAGCCCCCTGTGCGGTAACAGAGGGGTTCCTCACCCAGGAGACACCTCTCCCCCTTGGTTTAACCCTCTTCTCTTGCTGCCTTGACATTAATTTTTGAACAAGGGGACCCACATTTTCATTTTGCAGTGGATCCAGCAAGTTACATGCTGGTTCTGACTGCCAGAGGTTCCTGACTGTGATGGGGGTGAGGGATGGAGAGGGGAGCCCTGGGCCAGGAGAGAGTCAACCTGGGAGCCCTGTCTTGCCTCCATTCATTTTTTGAAATTCATTCATTCATATATGGGGTCAACACTTATTTATCCAATGCTGAGTCCTTTGCCAGGCTCTGTTCTGAGTGCTGGGGCTTCAGCTATGAAAGACTGTCCTCAAGGACCCAACATTCTAGCAGAGATGTGCTGAATAGACAAGTATTTCTTGTGAACGCACTGGGAAGCTGGAGAGCATCAAAGGTGAGACTCGACTCTGCCTTCTAGGAAACACAGCCCAGCAGGGGTGACTGAGCAAGCAGCTCCTGGGAGCAGAGGTGTCTAGAGGGGAGGGGTGGATGAGCCTGGATTCTGCCAGGAAGGGTGAGAAGTTCCCAGAGATGGCAGCACCGGCCCAGCACCTGGTCTTTACACCTAGGAGTAACAACCCCCAGGCGACATGGGGCAGGACAGGCATTCCAGAGAGTGGGTGGAGCTTGTCCACAGAAATTAATGTGAACTGCAGGGCACCTTAAGACTCTGCCTTTCAGCTGGGTTTCCCCAGACTCAAGCCAGGTGGATGCTCAGTAAATAAACCAAGGAGTTAATGAACGCACAAATGGATGGATGTTGCATGAAGGAGCAAGCAGGTGTGGCTCTCAGCGGACCAGCAGGTTATGGGACTCAGGGCTGCACCTGCCCCACTGTGCTCTATCCCCTTGCCTTGCTTCATTTTCCTCCCTAGCTCATTACCTGGAATGTGTATACATCTGTGGCCTGTCTCCTTCCCATAACGAAAGCTCTACGAGAAGGACATTGCCTATCTTGGCCACAGCTTTATCTCCAGCATGTACAACAGTGCTGACCAGCACATCATAGGTGCTCAATAAATATGTGTGGAATGTGTCCCCCCCCAAAAGATATTGAAGTCCTAGCCCCCAATACCTGTGAATGTGACCTAACTTGGAAATGATCAAGTTGAGGTCATTAGGCTGGGCTCTAATCCAATATGACTGTGTCCTTATAAAAAGGGGAAATTGAAGACAGACACCTCTAAGAGGGGAGACGATGTGAAGACACAGAAAGAGAGCCATCTACAAGCCAAGGAACATTAGAGACCACCAGATACTAGGAGACAGGCCTGGAACAGAAGTCTTGATCTTGAACTTCTAGTCTTGAGAATTTTGAGACAATACATCTGTGTTGTTTAAGCCAGCCAGTTGGTGGTCTTTGTTATAGCAGCCCCAGGAAACTAAGACACCTGACTTATACCTTCTAATTCCTTCTTGCTTGTCCAGCTCTCCATCCCCCTACCCCCCACGCTATAGACTATTGGTAACTGTCTTTCCAATGCTGAGCTTCCTAAAGGCAAGAACTATGTCTGATCCATTCTGCTCTCTAGCACCTAGCCTGTGTTTTTATCATACATTGGAAAATGTGTATTGAGTACCTCCCAAAGGCCAGGTACGAGACCAGGCCTGGGGACAACAAGATGAAGCCCATAGTTTGTGCCAAATGCCATGGGATCCTGGGAGGGAAAGAAAGAGAGAGAGGGAGAGCTTAGTGCCTGGCAGATGGCAGGAACTCCATGAATGCCCCAGGCTCCCATAAAATCCCCCTTTGCTTTTCTTTCAATTCTACAATGCACATCAATTCATTCTCTCTTTTTTATAAATCGGTTCAAGTCAGCGTGGATTTGTAGGGAAAGGCAGTCTCAAGCAGTGGGTAGGGGGGTGAGTTCTAAAGCCAGGCTTCGAGGTTTGATCCCTGGCTCCATCATTTCCTGCTTGTGACCTTGGACCCGTTACTAAACCTCACTGTGCCTCAATTTCCTCATCTGTAAAATGGAGCTCCTCACAGTAACCATTCTCCAGGTTTCTATGAGGACGAAATAGGTTGATGGCCTATGAAGTACTTTGGAATGTGCCTGCCAAATACAATGTACCTCAGACACTTTGTTATTTACTGAGCACCTGCCCTGTGTGGGACACTGAGCCGAGGCTGTGGGGGAGAGGTAGCCAGCTGGCCATCATACCAGTGCCCCCCTTCCATGGTGCGGAATTGTCACTGGGAAGTGGCTGTCGAGCCAGGGACTCTAATTCCCAGGGCCCCTGGCATCTAGGTGGAGCCAGGGGACTAGGTTCTGGTCAGTGCAATGTAGGCAGAAGAGATGACACCAGAGCCCCCTTGGGAGCCCGGTGCTAAAGATGGCGGCGTCCGTCAGCCTGAGCCCCCCGGTGAGGGGCAAAGTGGGGTCTCGATGCTGAAGCGGGGCCTCCCTGTGAGAAGTCAGCTTTTGTGCTAAGTCACTGTAATTACAGAGTTCACCTGTTAGCGCAGCTAGCGCTACTCTACTCCTTTAGAACACAGAGGAAAATAACATGCACTCCGCCTCTGAAAATCAGGTGGGGCTTCCTTTTCTGGGCTACCTCGATTCCTTTTAATAAGCAATGAAACGGGGCACCCGGTGGCTCAGTCCGTTAAGGGTCTGCCTTCGGCTCAGGTCATGATGGCAGGGCCCGGGGATCCGGTCCCATATCGGGCTCCGTGGTCCCGGGGAGCCTGCTTCTCCCTCTCCCTCTGCCGGCAGCTCTGCCTACTTGTGCTCTGCCTCTCTCTCTGTCACATAAATAAAATACAAATCTTTTAAAAAAAGAAGCAACAAAATATAAGTTTCTGGGCCCAGAAGAGAGACATTGAAGTCTGTGCCCTTTCCTCTCTACTCAAGACAATACTCAAGAGTGAGATTTACCCATCTTTCTGCCTTCCGCTGATGTAAACTTTTCAAAGGTCTGAGCCCTACAGGACCCTCCATCGCTTACGGCTGCCCCCAGCTCAGTGGTGAGAAACGGTGAGCTCCAGTGGCACCCAGGCCCCTGGCTTTGGCCTCCTTCAGAGCATGTTACTGTCACCCACATTCCACTGATCCCGTGCTCATCTCAGTGAAGGACCAGGCAGCTGCTTTCCAGGGACGGTTCAGCGCCATTCGGGTGGTGGTGAGATACGCTGCCCCCGAGACATGGACTCTCCAGTTTCAGCGAGGATGATGGGATTCCAGAGAGGCAGAGGCCAGGTGGCAGAGTGCCTAATTAACCGCCACAGACAGCACGAGCCACAGTACCCAGTTCCAAGTAGATGTTGCCCCCAGTTACCCCTGGTGGTGGCTATATAATCCCAGGACTTCTAAGAGGAAGAGAGGCGAGCGGTGTTAATTAGTCTCCTAGGGTGGCTATAGCAAAGTACCACCAGCTGGGTGGCTTAAAACCACAGAAATTTATTATCTCACAGTTCTGGAGCCCCGAGGTTGGAAATCAAGGTGTCAGCAGAGACCCACTCCTTCTAAGGGATCGAGGGGAGGATCTTTCCTTGTCTCTTCTAGCCTCTGGTGGCTGTTCCTGATCCTTGGCACCCCTTAGCTTCCAGCTGCATAATCGAATCCCTGTCCCTGTCATTGTCACATGGCCATCTTCCCTCTGTGTCTGTCTCTCTCCTCTTTGTATAAGGACACTGGTCGTATTGGATTAAGGGCCCACCCTACTCTAGTATGACCTCATCTTCACTTACATTGTTATTATATAGGCAAAGAGGGTCACATTCACAGGTACCATGGGTTAGGACTTCAGCATAACTTTGGGGGGTGGGGGGCACAATTCAACCCA